TTGAACTCCTTCAGTGTGGCCCTTGAGCCCACGTCGTTCTGAATCTGTAGAGTCAGCTCTATACCTGTACATAAGACAGTGAGTCCCCTATGAGTTTGTCTCACGCTAGGCACACCACAGGCACACCAAAGGAGAGGGCCACTGAGAACCAGAGCACAAATGCCACCATAACTGCCCAGGCTGGGAGTGATTGAGCGTTATGGCTGTCAAGTGTTCTCCCTCAGAAGTGATTCTCATGCGTGGCATCCCCCTAGACACGTGACCCTGGGCAGCACACATTTATAAACCTCTCAGACATGTTAGAGTGATTTTGCTGCCCCCTGTCCCCAGCAATCAATCAGCTTTGACAGAAATACCCGTTGGTGGTGGTATCTCAGCTATTTCAGTACACTCAGTAACTTCCTGCACACAATAAAATGTGGCATACTTTCAAAATCTTAACCTTACCTTTGTGGATAAAGTATGCTACTTTTTGGAAGTCTTTTTCCAAAAGTCCCCGGGTTGTTAGTGCTGGGGTCCCCAGTCGCAGTCCACTGGGCCTCAGTGCGCTTCTGTCACCTTTAAGACAAACAGGTCTCTATCCCCAAGCTGCACCCAATGCACCACACCATGTTTACTATCTATTTAAAGAGGGATACTTTGGCAAAAAGAATTGGCCTGAGGATTTTTGTTCTATCTTGCCAAAAGCATACAGCTTTCTTAAAAACTAGAAGTAGAACCAAAAGGCCCAAGTAGGCAGAGTCACATTTGGGTTACTCCTGGTATTTTTTTGTCTTGTTTTTTTAACACTTAACAAGTTTTATTAAAAATAGGAAAAGAAACAGTCTCTGCAGAGTGACTTTGGGCTGAGTAGGAAAAGAAGTACACCCTAGGGAGGGTGTTGTGTGAGAGAACACTGGCCCAGGTCATTCTTTATATAGACTGCAAAGCAGTCTTGTGTGACCCTTTGCAAGTTAACACCTGTTGGGGTCTGATATGTGTCACTGACACTTAATTAACATCAAGAAATGCTGCTTATTTTTGTTTTAATTTTAAAGAGGAAAAAAATTTAAAGAGAAAAAAATCAAAATTTCAAAGCAAGATAATGGTAGGGTAACAATGGTTAATACATTACATGTTTGTTTGGTTTTTAAATTTATTTGTTACACGACGCATGATTCCAGGGATCAAACTCAGGTCCAGGCAGGCGCTTAGATTGCTAAGTTATCTCTCTAGCCCCCTACTGCATGTTGTTATCTTTTAAATTAGTTACTTAGAGTACAAAATATCAGCATTTAATTG